TGAGTGCTGTTGACCTCCACACAGATTTGAGAGTAATGAAAGCTTGTCTTGCTTTTCCGATTCTGGCTTTGATGTCCTCGTCAGTTCCGCCTGTAGTTGAGACGATGCTTCCCAGGTAGGTGAAGGAGGTTGTTTCTTTCAGGTTCTTCCCATTTATGCTTATTGTGGTCTGTTGTTGTTGTTGTTGATGTTGGCTAGGAATCTTCATCATCTCTGTTTTATCTATGTTCACGTGAAGTCCTATCTTTGATGCTTCTTCTGCCAACTTGTTACTTTTCACTTGCATATCTTCCAGTTTATGGGAAATCAGACATATATCATCGGCGAAATCCAGATCCTCCAAGTCTTTTGTGTCAGTCCATTTTATGCCTGTTCCCTCGTTGGTTGCCGTTGTCTGTCGCATTATCCAATCAATTGCAATCAGGAAGATCATTGGTGATAGTAGACAGCCTTGCCTCACTCCCGTCCTCACTTCGAAGGCTTCCGTAAGTTTCCCGTTGTGGATTACTTGGCATGCAGCATTGTCGTATAACTGTTGGATGAGGTGTATAATTGTCGATGGGACCCCGTAGTAGCGAAGTAGTTTCCAAATGACCTCTCGATCGACGCTGTCGAAGGCCTTTTCAAAGTCGATGAAGTTGAGATAGAGAGGTGACTGCCATTCCAAGCTTTGTTCAATGATGATCCGTAGAGTGGCGATTTGATCAATACATGATTTGTTTCTCCTGAATCCAGCCTGTTCCGGACGAAGTTTTTCATCTAGGGCTTGTTTGATTCTCTCCAGGATGATGCGACTTAGTATCTTGCTTGGAATGGACAGAAGCATAATTCCACGCCAGTTTTTACATTGACTTAAGTCTCCTTTCTTTGGAAGTTTGAATAAGTAACTGTTCTTCCAATCCTCGGGTACTTTGCCCTCTTTCCACACCTTCTCCAGTAGTGGTGTCATCAAGTCCGCTGTTGTCTCTGGGTCTATTTTCAAAGCCTCTGCTGGGATTCCATCTGGTCCCGGTGTTTTCCCAGTTTTAAGCATCTTGATTGCATTCAGGACTTCTGATTTCGTCGGGGGGTCAGTGTTCACTGGTAGTTCTGCTTCCGTTGTTGGTATTGCTGGACGTGTTGTAGGTGGCGGACGATTTAGAAGTCTTTTGAAGTGTTCAACCCAGTGCTTTCTCTGTTCCACCTCTTTGGTGATTGACTTTCCATTGTCGTCCTTTATTGGCTTAATCTGTGTCGAACGTTTGCCCGAAAGGTTCCTAGTTGTTTGGTAGAGTGTGGCGAGGTCTCCTTTGCCTGCAGCTTGTTCTGCTTCGTTTGCCATGGTTTCATAATATTTTCTTTTGTCTTCCCTGGCACTTTTCTTCACTCTTTTGTTCAGTGTATTGTAGCTTGCATTCAGCTCCTGTTTTTGTTGCTCGTCAGTGCACTGGATAATCTTTTGCTTCACTGTCCTTCTCTCTTCTATTAGTTTCCAAGTGTCCGTAGTGAGCCACTGTTTGTCCTGTCTCTTTTTTCTGCCTAGAATTTCTATGCAGGTTTGGCTCCACACCGTTTTCAAGTTGTTCCAGTGCTTTTCAACGCCGACCTCTTCGCTAGTGTTGATTTGTGTCTCGGCTTTGTCCTTTATGCTTGCAATGAAGATGTCCTTTGTAGCCTGGTCCTTCAGCTTTTGAGTGTTGAACTTGGCTTGTGGTCTATCTGCAGCTCCTGATTCCCTGAAAGCTTTTAATTTGATTTGGATTGTCCCTTGTACGAGATAGTGGTCTGAGCCAACGTCTGCTCCTCTTCTTGCTTTTGTGTCCAGTAGGCTGCGCCTCCACTTCCTTGAGATTGAGATGAAGTCGATTTGGTTTTTGGTTTGCCCGTCTGGTGACACCCATGTAGCCTTGTGGATATCTTTGTGCTTGTATACACTGCCACCAATCACCAGTTCGTTGAAGGCGCAGAAGTCGGCGAAGAGTTCTCCGTTTTCATTCATTTCTCCTAGAGCTTCTCTACCCATGATGAGTTCCCTTCCCGTATTGTCTGGTCCCAGTTTGGCGTTCATGTCTCCCATTAGTATTTTCATGTCGCCAGCTGGAGTATTGTCCATTGTTGCCTGTAGTTGCCTGTAGAATTCTTCTTTCTTCTCGAGGTCTGCGTTGTTTGTGGGTGCATAACATTGTATGATTGACACTTTCCTTCCTTTGGAGTTGAACCTGGCGGTCATTATCCTGGACGAAATCGCCTCCCATTGTATCAGGGCTTTCGTTGCCGTTGGTGACATCATGATAGCCACGCCCTCGGTGTGCGTGTGGTTATCTTCTGGGTGACCGGAGTAGATCACTGACTCACCTGTTGACAATTTGGTGAGTCCACTCCCATTCCATCTGCTCTCACATATTCCCAGCACTTGTATTCCGTATCTTTTCATCTCGTTGGCGATCTGGGCAGCTTTCCCAGTCTCGTACATAGTTCGGACGTTCCATGTTCCTACACAGACTTTTTCTTTTGGTGCAAGGAGGTTCATCATACTGAAGTTTCTTTAGCAATTTTTGTTTACAGGGTGGGGTTGCTAGCCTCACGCCTGAGAAAAGAATGATTACATTAAGTAAAAGTTTAGAGAGAAGCAACTTTTTGGGTTGCTTCCACATACGGTGTGGAATCAAGCTGTAATTAAAAATATAAAGTAAATATTGACTCAATGTTTTACAAACATCTTTTAAATAATATGCTAACCATTCCTGACAGTTTAAATTAGCGATTTCTCTGAATATGTTGTCTATGAATAGATTCATGTCATTTATGCGTAAATAGTAAAATTATTATTTCACTTTTTTGAATTTACTAAATCACATTATCATCAGCTGTCAGTATTCATGTTGTTTCTACATTTTCTGAGACAAAAAAAACCCACTAAAATTCTTGATTAAGATTGACACATTGTCAACAATAAAGAATTCACTAACAACGATCATACAAGTAAAAACTTCTATTATCATAATTATAGAACTTAATTTAAGTAGGCGAGTACATATTTTCAATAAATTCTCATCAGGCTTTACATTACAAAAGACTCAGCAATTGAATTGCGGGCAACGAAACTTTGAAAAAAAAAAGAGCTGAAACATTCGTTGCCACTCGATGTGTATAATTCCAATGCAGGTGAAGGATAACCTACCGAGTCTGACAACTTCAGTGTATACATTTATAGATTTAACTGTTTATGTGGAGGAGACAATTACATAGGTAGAACGCCTTGGCAGCTTACTGACGCCTTTTGGAGCATTGTTCAATTGTAAAGACAATCAGAAATTCTATACCGATATGTCTAGTAGTGGATATGGAACACAAGATTGACACAAACAAATTCAGTTTTAACAATTCTATACACAGAATGTCACCTTAACTCTCTTGGTTAGGATGTCTTTGATTGCTAAGCACAGCTGAGGTAGTTGCCATAATGATTTTTCAACTCAATTTCTATATCCAGAAGAAGTTTGTTCAGTATTGACCCCACCTTAAAATAGTTATCTCTCACGGTGACACGGATAGCTCTAAATATACTCTTATGGTTTTTGCTTGTAATGTTAACTGTATTACGACTTCATGCACTTCTGTAGTTGTACATTTTATTCTTGGTTTCACAATTTATCAATACTATTATATTATCTAATCACTAAGTTACAATAGTTATTATTCCCTCTAACCCTACCAGTATGCACATTCGACTTATATACTCACCCACCGTTGCCTAGATTATATAAACACTTGAATGAATTTATCCTTGTTATTATTATCGTTATTATGATCACCCCAATTGTTATCCACTAATCCACTCCAGTGAACGTTGAGTTTTTGGATGGTTTGTGCCTAGGTTATACCCAGATGTTTTGATTTCATTCCCTTTTATAGGTTTGATCAAATCTTGTGTATGATTTTGAAGGATTTTGCGAATGTACGCGTATATAGTTCAATGACAGAACGTCTGGTGAATACAAGACATTCAATGCCATTCGAAAAATCCTTTTTTTTATAACAGCTTGATTCCACACCGTATTCTAAAAAAGTAAGGAATTTTCAGTATGGATATCAGTAGCCCAAATTTCGCAGGCCGACCATAGATATCAGGTGTGCGTCAGCGAGGGCTCGAACCCCGAACCATGTGCATGGTCGGCGAGAGTTCTAACCACTGTGCCACCGACGCACAGGTAATATACAAGATTCGATCAAACCTATCAAAGGGAGTCAAATTAAGACATAGCCGAGGCACTAGCCATCCAAAAACTCAAGCCCACTCCATGTATCCAAAAGAAATACCACCAAATCTTGTCCCGGTCATGGCCATCATAAACAGGTAATTCTTTTTACAGTGACTATCTTATTGCCTTTCTTACCCAATTTTCCTGTTTATTCATGTTATTTTTGAGTTTTTCTTAATCCCTCCACTATTTACACTACCATATTTTCATATCCGAACTTCCTGACTATCTTTTGTCATTTTATTATTTCTACATATTTAATCCCTGACTGCATAAACAATTATTCGTCACATTAGTTATGATCCCACTAGATTTTGTTATCCAAACATCCTGTCTATTTTTGTTATATCTACATTTCTAACTCTTAATTGCACAATCAGTGTCAATCTTCTCAGTAATTATGATGCTACCTAGTTTGAGTTTTATCCATCCTCCTCCTCGTGTTTATTATGGCATTTTTATTCCTAATTGTAATTCTACTAATCTGACCCTTGACCGGAAGTTATTCTGAAACTTTCCTGCCCATTTATTATATGAAATACACGAATATACAGCCTCCTAGTTGACGATGATTTCGTCGAAAAGAGAATTTTCTTCGCTGCAACTATCTTTTTATTATTCCCTATGATCAAATGTGTACATTTTTTATACAAATGTAAAGCCTGATGAGAATTTGTCAAAAATACGTATTTGCCTATTTAAATCGTGTTACACAATCATACATTTACACAAGAAAAAACAACAATATATTCAACTAACCAGTAGTACGCAAAGCTTTACACAGATCACCACTCGTCTCTGATGATATTGCCTTCTCTATGTCTCTTTTACCAAGAGTTCCGTAATGCTGAAATACTGCACGTAAATGGGGGTATGATCGTCCACATAATACTTGAATGAATCTAAAGTGATAATAATAATAATAATAGTAGAGACTTTTATAGGTTATTTGATAAATGAAAATAATAATTAACTTTTGACATCGTGTTGTACACTTCTAAATCTCTCTTAGTCGGGCCTAAATGTAGTGAGTAGAGAAGGTGAGGCATGAGATCAGGAACCTCACTATGGCTGTTAAAACTTTAAACCTTAATTTCCAAGCCCCATACTCCACTCGAATAGCAGACGAATGAAATAAAACAAGAGCGGAAGCGCGAGAGAGAGAGTGAGACAGTGTTAATGAAAGTGAGGTTAAAAAGTAACCATTTTATTTCATGACTTCATCATGAGCTGACATCGGTTACAGAACTATGGGAAAATCTGAGATTACAGGAAAGCTATTTCGTCAGCCTAGTTCACGACTCTTGATCAGTACGCATCCACCGTCAGGTTTCAAACCTAGGAAATTCCAGTTACAGCAGGTTGGGTATGAGGACAAATACTCGCCAATAATGACACTGGCTAGTGTCAGTCGCTCTATATCGTGAATTCGCTGGCAGAAATTGGTATTCATGGGGTGGCCACTGGATTGCCGAATCTCAGCGGCTGAATGATCTACGAGCACGCTTCCTCGTTATTGGAAGATCTTTGGTCTAAGCCCCGGTGGATGCCTACTTATGAAGAGTCCCAAACCAGGCCGACGAAATAGCCGTCCACTACTCCTAGATTTTAAAATGCTTCTCTAAAGGATGTCATCTCATGATGAAATCCTGAAACCAATCAAATCCCTGCAATCCAACCACTTGAGAGGAACAAATTAGGATCTCTGAGCTGATCCATATTTGAAACACCTCTGATAAGCTCAATCCTGAACCGCCGAAATGATTATCTGACGTTTAGATCAGATAGATCCGGCTAACAAGTACTTCACAGTTTGACATAGGTGATTTCCAACTACTCAAATCAATCACTGAGTAGTATAAGTCATCCCACTCACGTATCTGCTTTATTTTGAAACATTCATGGATGTAGAATACGTTTGCCTAACTAACTATACAGACAGATGGATTACACACACACACACACACACAAAAAGCATCGTAAGATTCAGAAATATCAATAGATCACATCATATGATTCTGTTTTTCAATTAGTAATGCACTAAATACACATTCAGATTAAGTTTCGTGAGAGCAAAGTCAATCAGTTGAAGTCTGTAAATACATAAAAACGCACACATTCACATGTAATATGCAAATGTTTTCAATTCTGATTCTTCTCTGTGTAAGCTATAAATTTTACCTCACTCACCCTCTTTCTCTTAGCATATGATATCATGCCTTACTAGATTATTTAAGATGTGACTGACATTGAGTTCCATCAGTGTTCTTCAAATTCCCTTCAAATTACACTCTTGAAGGAAATACCATTGTAGTGACGTCAGAAAAAAGGCTTAGAGAAGATACTTACATTGTGTAGGAGAAAGCGAACAATTTTCTTGCCATTGTTATCCTGACTAATAGATTGACAGCTAGTTTTCAATTTACAGCAAAAGTTCTTACTTGACAAAGTATGAATTTCGTCAAAAACGTGATTATATCTAAGGCGGGGGGGGGGCTCTAGAAAATAAAATTTCAACTTAATTGCTATCACATAACTTATTGTTAAAAACTTTGTGGAGTGGTATTACCAGTTTATTCAACGTAGCTAGTCACATATCGGGTGATTTGAAGGGATTGGACTGCCTTAGCTGAGCGAAACCTGGTACATCACTGATGAGGTTATCCCAGAAGGAAAGTGATGGATATCCTAAGTTTACATAACTTCGACTTTGCTAATATGCCAACACTACGACTATTGATGATTGTATAAAGAATCCTAATATGAGTGGAAGCAATAGAATTTTTATATTCGATGGTTGGAGGATGGTTAATCGGCTACAGGAAGCCTTGCATCACCTAGATTTCGTGTTAGTAGACACTCGTCAGTCAGCAGGGTGTATTGCCAACCTTGAAGGAAATGATGTCCCTTCTGAGATAGAATCCCTTGTCACTCAGTGCTAAGCAAAATGAGCTGACTCACGATTGACCTCCTGTAGGACTGTACTAGATACTTTTGATTGGACACAAGTCAGTGACTAGTGTAGTGTGTATAGTCCTTTGTTTGCTGCAGAGTGAATTCTGTTTCTTAAGTTTGCAATGTAGCCACAAAGGACTAGAAATATTACACTCGATACCAATTGAAAGTATCCATTGCAGACATTTGTAAAGATTATATTTGTAAAATTTCAGAGAAACTGAAATGATTAATTTCAATGTTTCCCGTGTTCGGCAGTCTGATCCGAACTTCTTCAGGGAAATTATTCAAAATTAAGATAACAGAGGTTTATATTTAAAAAGGAGGACATTTCTTGTTTTTTAAAAGCTTTGTCCAATCATATGAGTCATGAAACAGGTATCAACATGTATAATAAACAAAATTGTATGAACTGTGTATGTCAAAATCTGACCTCAGACTTTCAAAAATTAGTCTACTTTTTGTCAAATAATTTAAACAGGGTGTACGTTCGACTAAACGTTCATGGTCGTAGATAACTGAATATGAAAATATGTGTGTATATGCAGTAGATACTGGTGTGTGAGTATGTGTGTGTGTGGGCGGGGGGGGGGTAAACTGTCATAAAACATGTGTTAGCTACTCCATAAGAAGATAAAAACAATCGGGAATTTAGAGCAAGTATGATTGATTAGTAATACACATCCCTCACTTCTGTTCAAACTGTTGGGATTCACCCATATATCTTGGGCTTCTCCAGTCAGTCTTTCTGTATACGAACCAAAACCTTTCTGAATAACTTTATATTATATTATTATTGTATCCTTTAGTTCCTAGAGGAACATAGGGCTTCAGCTGCGCACCTCCATTGACTTCGGTTTTCTGACAACTTTTTCACCCTGCTCCAGGTCTGTCCACATGCATTCATCTCCTCCTCGCATGACCTCCTCCAAGTCACCCTTGCACTGACGGCCAACTCGCTGCCTCCCTTTCGGGTTCCACTCGAGCAATGGCTTGTCTAGTGATGTCACTTGATGGTTTCCTCAGAGTATGGCCAATCCATCTCCATTTCTTTCTGCCTATTTGTTTCACAATCGGTTCCTGATTGGTTCGCTAATTGCCAGAGATCCCTGTTGCTGATATTTTCTGGCCATCTGATCTAGAGTATTGAGCGGAGACAGCTGTTAATGAAGGTCTGGAGTTTGTTTGAGATGCTCTTTATGACTCGCCAAGTCTCTGATCCGTATAGTAGCACTGACTTCACATTGGAGTTGAAAATCCGGATCTTATTTTTGATGCTGAATGCTGTTGACCTCCACACAGATTTGAGAGTAATGAAAGCTTGTCTTGCTTTTCCGATTCTGACTTTGATGTCCTCGTCAGTTCCGCCTGTAGTTGAGACGATGCTTCCCAGGTAGGTGAAGGAGGTTGTTTCTTTCAGGTTCTTCCCATTTATGCTTATTGTTGTCTGTTGTTGTTGTTGCTGTTGATGTTGGCTAGGAATCTTCATCACCTCTGTTTTATCTATGTTCACGTGAAGTCCTATCTTTGATGCTTCTTCTGCCAACTTGTTACTTTTCACTTGCATATCTTCCAGTTTATGGGAAATCAGACATATATCATTGGCGAAATCCAGATCCTCCAAGTCTTTTGCGTCAGTCCATTTTATGCCTGTTCCCTCGTTGGTTGCCATTGTCTGTCGCATTATCCAATCAATTGCAATCAGGAAGATCATTGGTGATAGTAGACAGCCTTGCCTCACTCCCGTCCTCACTTTGAAGGCTTCCGTAAGTTTCCCGTTGTGGATTACTTGGCATGCAGCATTGTCGTATAACTGTTGGATGAGATGTATAATTGTCGATGGGACCCCGTAGTAGCGAAGTAGTTTCCAATCTGTAGAACTTTAGTCCTATCAAATTCGATATTGTGTCCCATTTCTATCGAATGCAGTGCAATCGATGATCTGTTTTCTAGCTTCTTTAAATCTACAGAGAACTTTGGAACCATCTTTAGACGTTGTTTGTACTCTCTCACTCTTATATTTACCTGTCTGGAAGTTTCTCCTACATATACAGCAGGCTCACAGTCCCCACAATTGATCCGGTACATATAATTCTGTTGGTTTTCTTCTTCTATTTTATCCTTAAGCTTCACCTGTGAGGAGGGTAAGGTGTTAGTTGCACGAAAACAACACTCTTATGTTATGATTGTTAAAGATTCGCTTCATCTCCGATGTTTATCCGATGTTCCTTTGTGGTCAGGTATAACCGCTGTATTACCCCAATTCTTGACAAGAGGTTTTGATCCATCCTTATCTTCACATTATTTTAATATTTTTAATATTTGGTAGTCTGAGGTCAAATTTTGATCACAGTTCATACAATTTTGTTTATTATACATTTTGATACCTGTTTCATGACTCATATGATTGGACAAAGTTTTTGAAAACAAGAGATGCCCCGCTTTTTATATATAAACCTCTGTCATGTTAATTACGATTAATTTCCCCGAAGAAGTTCGGACCAGATTGCCTAACAAAACGTTGGAATAAATCATTATAACTTCGCTGAGATTTTACAAATGTCTACTTCCCACTTGGCGCCCAATTGTATTTTGGAACTATTCGGTCAAATTTTGATCACAGTTCATATGAATACCCAATACAGTCCTTATTATTTATTATTATTGCTCCCTTGGGTTCCTAGTGGAACATAGGGCTACAACTGCACGTCTCCATTTTCTTCTGTCTTCTGCTGTACTTTTCGCCTGCATCCATGTTAGTCCATACTCTTTCAACTCCTCTTCACACGATCTCCTCCATGTCACCCTTGCACTGACGTCCCACACGCCGCTTCCCTTTCGGGTTCCACTCGAGGGCTTGACGCGCGCGATGTCACCCAGCGGTCTCCTCAGCGAGTGTCCGATCCATCTCCACTTTCTCCTGCATATTTGTTGGTTGGCGATTGGTTCTTGCTTTGTTTGTTCCCATAATTCCTTGTTGGTGATTCTTTCCGGCCATCTGATCTTCAGTATAGAGCCAGCGAAGACAGTTGTTAATAAAGGTCTGCAATATCCTGTTGGAAATATTCTTTGTGACCCGCCCGCCAAGTTTCTGATCCGTATAGAAGAACTGACTACTTCATGTTTGTATTGAAAATCGACCGAATTTTGTTGTTGATGCTGGTGAGTGACGAAGATTTCCAGATTGATTTCAGGTTGATGAATGTGTTTCTCGCCTTCCCGATTCTCGCTCGATTTGACATCCTCGTCAGTTCCGACTTCCTGTAGTTGAGACAATGCTCCCTAGATAAGTAGTGAATGAAGTAACCTCTTTCAAATCCCTCCCGTTGATGGTGATTGACGTTGGATGTTGTTGCTGTTGTTGGTTGGTTATTTTCATAACCTCCGTCTTGTCTATGTTTACCTGGAGTCCTGTCTTCGCCGGCTGCTTCTTCGACCAGTTTGTCGGTCGGTTTTCGCTTGTAAGTCTTCGATTGTGTGTGACATCAAACATAAATCATCCACGTGCGAAATCCAGGTCTTCTAGGTTCTTCACGTCGGTCGGTCCAGGATATCCCTGTCTTCTCGTTTCCCACTCACTGTCTGACGCATAATCCAGTCAGTCCACCACAATTAGGAATATCATTGGTGATAATAAGCACCCTTGTCTGACTCCTGTGTTTACTCCAAACGCCTCGCTGAGTTTTCCGTTGTGGATCACTTGACATGTGCCGTTGTCGTACAGCTGTTGAATAAGGTTGATGAATATTTGGGGTACGCCATAGTACTCGAGTAATTTCCAAATTACTTCGCGCTCAACGCTGTCGAAGGCCTTCTCAAAGTCTATAAAGTTGAGGTAGAGGTTTGATTGCCATTCCATGCTTTGTTTGATGATGATGCGTAGAGTTGCAATTTGGTCAGTACATGATTTGCCTTTCCTGAATCCAGCTTGTTCTGGTCGGAGTTCTGTCTCCAGTGCGTCCTTTAATCTCTCCAGGATGATGCGACTCAGGATTTTACTTGGCGTCGATAGGAGCATGATTCCTCGCCAGTTCTTGCAGAGTGAGGCGTAAGTCGCCCTTCTTTGGTAGTTTCACGAGGTAACCTTTCCTCCAGTCAGTAGGCACCTTTCCCTCCTTCCAGACCTTTTGCAATAATGGAGTCAGCATGTCTGCTGTAGTCTCTGGGTCCGCTTTCAGTGCTTCAGGGGGTATTCCATCTGGTCCGGCTGCTTTTCCAGCTTTCAGAAGCTTGATTGCATTCAAGACTTCAGCTCTCGTTGGAGGATTGGTGTCAACTTGCAGTTGTGTGCGCGCTGTTGTTGGTATTTCTGGACGGGTTGCAGGTGATGGTCGGTTCAAGAGTCCTTTGAAGTGATCCGCCCATTGTTTAATCTGTTTTTCTTCCTTGGTAATGGGTTCCCTTGGCTGTCTTTTATAGGTTTCGCTTGTGTTGATCTCTTCCCGGATAGAGATTTGGTTATCTGATATAGTGTCCTCAGGTCCCTTTTGCCTGCTGCCTTCTCAGCTTCAGTGGTGAGGTTGTCGTAGAATCGTCTTTTGTCCTTCCTAGCACTCTTCTTCACTTCTTTGTCCAGTGCTTTGTAAGTTGAGCTCATCGTCTCCTTCTCCTGTCCGTCCTTGCATTGAATCATTTTCTCTTTCACCATTCTCCTCTCTTCTATTAATTTCCAAGTGTCCGTTGAGAGCCATTCCTTGTCTTGTCTCTTCTTTCTTCCTAGAACCGTTGAACACGTTTCGTTGAGAATCGCCTTCAGAGACTTCCAATGTTCTTCCACGCATGATTCTTCAGTGATGTCGCGTAGTGTTTCCTGCTTTGCTCTGACAGTTGCAGTGAAGGTGTCTTTTGTGGTTGTGTCCTTCAGTAATTGAGTGTTGAACTTGCATTGTGGCCTATCCCCAGCTATCCTCGAGGCTTTTAGTTTCACCTTGAAAGTCCCTTGTACTAGATAGTGGTCTGAACCCACATCTGCTCCTCTCCTTGACCTTGTGTCCAGTAGGCTCCGTCTCCACTTTCTTGAAATTGAGATGAAGTCTATTTGGTTCTTGGTGTTTCCATCTGGTGAAATCCATGTCGTCTTGTGTATATCCTTGTGTTTGAACACACTACCACCAATCACCAAATCATTGAAGGCGCAGAAGTCTGAGAAGAGTTCACCATTGTCGTTCATTTCGCCGAGGGCCTCACGACCCATGGTGAGTTCTCTTCCTGTGTTGTCTCCTCCCAGCTTCGCATTCATGTCGCCCATCAGGATTTTGATATCGCCATTTGGGACGTTGTCCATTATTGCTTGTAGTTGTCTGTAGAACGCCTCCTTCTTCTCTTGTTCTGAGACGTTTGTAGGCGCATAGCATTGACATTGAATGACTGTAACTTTCCTTCCTTTTGAGTTGAACCTGGCTGTCATTATCCTGGAGGAGATTGGTTCCCACTGCATGAGAGCTTTGGTTGCTGTTGGTGACATCATGATGGCCACTCCCTCGTGGTTGTCCTCTAGGTGGCCGGAATAGATTACTGTCTCTCCAGTAGGTAGTTGGCACCTTCCAGTTCCGTTCCATCTGCTTTCGCAGATTCCCAACACTTCTATTCTGTACCTTCTCATTTCAGCGGCTATCTGGGCAGCCTTTCCAGTTTCGTACATTGTACGAACATTCCAGGTACCCATCCTTACTTTTGCTTTCATCGAAAGAAGGCACATCGGCTGACTGGCTTCCCGAAGGCTTTCACCAGCCTGCGTCATTTCACTTCCCCGATTCCAGCGAAAAGTAAGGCTATTGCTTATGTTTTTAGAATTTTTAATATATTTATTCGTTGAAGTTTCTGTAGCGATTTGGTTGTTTTACAGGGGTGGAGTTGCTAGCACCACGCCCCAACCCTCCCTCTTTACCCGGGCTTGGGACCGGCGAGAAAACTAGTAAGCTAGTAGCCTAGCAAGCTAGTATCTGGCGAGGTCAGTCGCAAGCTAGCGCGAATAGCTCAGTAGTAACGTCACAGACTACAGCAATCACTGGTTGACGTGGGTTCGAATATCCAAGGGATAGACAAGGATTCTTTCGAGGTTGTATATATATATATATGAATATATATACCTTGCTGACTGATGAGGGCCAACTAGCATGAACCCTAGTTGACGCAAGACTTCCTGTGGCCGATTTCCTCCGACCATCTAATATCAACAATTCACAGTGCAGCGCACTGTGATGGTGAGTCACCTGGTGATATAGTGGCCACATTGCGAACTTAACTAGATAGAATTAGACGCATTACACTAGTAACTAACTTGTGTCTAATCAAAATATATACAACAAGCTAATTCTAGAAAATAGATTCAAGCAGGGTATCTAGATTCTACGACTATATCAATAGATAGGTTTATTTTCAATGTCTTAATAATCAAGTTACTATCTGGAACCAGAAGGATTTAAGAAGTGTGACTCATATAATTAAGCCATTTTGAGGGGACTTTTAATGCTACTGGTGTCAAACGTGAGTAAATTCCATCGTTTAGTGAGCACAATAGATTAGAACCAAGTAAGTGACCAATAGTAGTCTTACTAGAAAGTCGTGTAGTCTTGAGATTATCAAAGGTTTTCAGAAAGTTTTCGAAAGTTGCTGAAAAGTTCCAATTTATGGCCAAAACCACAGTAAAACTCTTCATAGTGAGGGTTAGCGAACCACTCTTCTGACATTGCATCAATACAAAACCGAATGATCCCTGGATTGACAGCTGACTAGAAGATATGAAAATGATTTGTTTGTTAGAAATGATAGACTCTTGCATGATCCAGAAATATTTTACTTTATCTTTCACAATGAGCAAGAGTCTTATATTGTGAAATATTCAGTAGTCGATTTCCAGGTTATGTAGTTGAAAATCCGACAGTCTGAATATTATGTTGATTTTCAGTTTATTAGATGGTTAGAAGCAATCTGAAAGCAGAAAGCCAGAAATGACTTCGACTCAATGCTTTTCGAATTTCTCCAGCAAGGTGTTTGTGCAGTCTTGAAGAAATCCATATCTTTTCTGCTCCAAAAAAAGCCTAGACTCATGACAGTAGTGTCCGGTCAGAGTATTCATTTCAGTCCTGCATGAGGTCAGTCATGAGCCTGAATATCTTAGTGGTAATATGTCTAACTGCAGCACTAAGTGACGTAGGTTCAAATCTCAGGCGGAATATAAATCCCCTGAAGATTGCAGATACGTCTTACTGACAGTTGAGTGTCAAGAAGCACGAAATCTAGGTCCAAAGTTCCCTGAGTTATTGCCTTGAACCGTCTAATAACAAGAATTTAAAGTGCACCATGACAGCAAGCCATCTAATGGCATGGTGGCTACATTATAAAACTTGACTGATAGAATTCAATCTTTGGTATTTCTACTGTTAAGTAATACTGTGACAGTTTGTTACTAATTTCTGTAAATTAGAGGCAATGCAATTCAGGTACAGACACCCCGACATATTCACCTACATTAATACCGTTTGCATATACCACCCTTTGTCAATGTAGAAATATGCTCAAGCACAAATGTTATGACAAGCTCAGGTTTATCGAGTCACAATTCAACGTCTAATATACATATAATCCTTGTTATCTCATCAGGAAATCCAAATCTTTCCAGAGGTCTTGCAGAAAAAACTGATATTTGTCACTTAAGGATAAATGGAATACATTTTTTTAACAAATTGAAACGTACTTTGATTCATCTGTTCCAAGTCTTGCCTCTCCTGCCTTATACAAGTCTTCAGCATCTCGACGTGCACGACATTCATCCACTTGTGGGTTTTCATCTCTGTCGCCTTGTGCAAGTGCTACACAAACACGTTTAAAATATCCCGAGGTATCGTCTCTAATATCCTTTTCAAGATCACGTCCACGATGCACTATTATTCAGATAGATAGAAAGATAGTTAGTAATTAAAATATCCTAATTTCAAGTTGGATCACGAAGCGATATCTATAAAATAAAGTGTATGGAATGCGATATAATATGCATCGGACTAACATCGCGAGAAGTCGAGGTAATTAGAAGTATTGAACACCGTAGAGCATTTGTTCGACCATCGAACTAGAAAAGCTTAAAAAATCATCAGTCATAGGTCTAAACGCTATGGAAACAGGCCACAAAATTGACTTTGGCAATATCAAAATAATCCGTAAAAATTTCAGAAATCACAAAGGACATCCAATGCAATCAGCTAAACTTCATGTCTAATGGAATCCAAATTGTTTGAATAGGAATGATGAACTTAAGCACAATTTAAACTGGTGGCTACACCCGCCCCAACCTTCGTGAAGTGACGAAATCAACATGAATGTGATAAGCAGTTTCACTATCCAAACTCATGGCGTTTTTATAATTTTATGCGCTTATCAAATGCAACAATTTACACCTGGTTTTGGTATCTTTAGCAGTTGGTCGACTTGACAGATTAAAGAGAATTACTCCATGCTGATGAACGATGATTAAGCTGTTGTATATAAGCTAAGATTTTGTAAATTCTGGTTTAATAATACTACTTTGATAAAGCTATTATGAGCAGCATTAAGTAGCGAAACGTCAGTAGAAACATCAATATCGTTTTCGCTTTCATCTACTGGGAATTACAGAAACATTCATAATAATGAATATCATCATATACTCTATGCACAAACCATTAAGACTAAACTTGGTTTGGACATACATAACTTAGTTTAAAGGCTAAACTGTCAACGATCACGGTTTGATATCATTTAGAGAATAACTGAAAACCCCTGCAGAGAATACTGGACACTGTTTATTTTATTTTTGATTACAGCTTGATTCCACACTGTATTTTTGGTACAAGTATGGAATTTTCAGAATGGATGTCGGTAGCCCAAATTTTGCAGGCTGACCATAGATATCAGGTGTGAGTTGGCGGGGGATCGAACCTCGGACCATCTGCATGGTCGGCGAGAGTCCTAACCACTGTGCCACCGGAAGCTCCTGGATCCAGTCCCCAGTGGGCGCATACTGATGATGAATCACAGGCTAGACAGAAACGGCTGTCCAGTACTCCTTAGTTTTTCAATCATTCTTTAAATAACATCAGTTCATGGGCAAACTCGAAACAAATCGAATCTCTACAAATTAGGTCTTAAAAAGGAATAAATAACTTGAAGTCATATCCACCGTGCAAGAATAATCTCTCATGACCTACTGGTCTAGTGGATAACGTTTCAGTGCTTCAGGCAAAATCATTTGGGATACCTTTACTCTCTAAGGAGCAAAGTAAGTTCAGTTGACGAGTTTTAAGTTGGACGAAATGCTCGTCTCGGAATCAACTGTTAGTCACCATTAAACAAGTAACTTCAAACTCTAAGATTCATTAAGAAACATTCCATGAATATGTGAGTGGTGAATGGATTCGAAAGAAAAACCTCATTCGTGACTTCATTCAAATGAGTATTCTCCTTTAAGAGGCATAGCTGTAAAGGAATTCACCCTGCACTTACTTGTTGAATAGGCTTCTTTGATCTCCCTGATTTGTTCATTTGTTCTAGAGCATAATATTTCAATAAGTACATCTTCATCTGTACCAGCACCTCGCATGGCTTTACGCAACTCAAGAGCATCGAATTCAGCTGGTGATAAACACAAAGCTGTCATACATTGTAAAAAATGTCCACTTAATTCAGAATCAAATTTAGACTTTAAATCTTTTCCGAATAATGATTTATATTTTTTACGATTGCTGCACGTTGATTAGGACTTCTATGCGCCATAACATCAATTAATTCTTTTTCATTTGTTCCTAATCCTGCCATTGCTTTTCTTAAACGTTCACAGTCTGTTTCAGCATCAAAGTTGGCTGCATCTGTGACTGTTGGTTCAAACTGTAAAATAAAAAGAATGAAAGTAGGTTAATAATAGTAATACGTATATTATTGATTGTATTTATTGATTTTATTCTATGATTCCTATTGACTGATTTATGTTGATATTAGATGGTTGGAAGCAATCGGCCACAGGAAGCCTCGTTGGGATCTAGGTTGCGTGCTAGTTGGCACTTACCAGTCAACAAGGCGTATCTGCCACACTGAAGGAACTCATGTCCCTTCTGCACTTCGAACCCGCGTCACCCAGTGAGAGCTGAAGACAAAGATGTTACAGCTGATCTTTTCAGGCTCGCGATTGACCTGCTGTAGTCTTGTAGTGGATATTTTGATTGGACACTAGTAACTAGTGTGATGCGTCTAGTCCTATGTTTAGTGCAGACTGAATTCTGTCATGGAGGATTTCATCACGAGCTTGCATCAGTTATAGAACCACTTGGAAACCAGGGAGTTTTGGAAAGCTGTTTCGCCCCACCTAGTTTAGGACTGTTCAGCAGTACGAACCCACCACCACAGTTCCAACCCAGGACCTTCTGGTTACAAGGCGAGCTCGTAGTCCATTAAGCCACTGGGACCCGATCCAGCGGCCAGCCCATCAATTCTAACGTCTGCCAATTCACGACATAGCGCGACCATTTCACCATGTCTTCTTCAATGGGTTACTGCCTCATCCTGCAACCTGCTGTGCACTACTGGTAACGGCTACCTACTAGAACCCCTGGTTAACTGCCTGAATAGGGCCAGTCGCTAGTGAGCATCAGATTAATTCTCAAGCATTGGCATTTTGTAGGACGAAACTGCTGACCAGTACTCAATGGTATTCCAGTTGTTCTCTAACTCATGTCAGCTCATGATGAAATCCTCCATCCAATCAAACACAAAATCCCTACAAAACCAATACCTGAATTCTATCAGTCAAGTTTGTAATGTGGCCACCATTCTAGGTGGCTCGCCACCACGGTGCACATTGATTTGATGATATTAGATGGTTGGAGGCAATCGACAGGAAGCCGAACTGTAGGGCTGTTACGGCATACCTGCTCCTAATATCGATACTTACAGTATATCTAATTGTAAACGCGATGTTATTTGATTGATAGCAACTTGCAAAGCCATTAGAAAGGCTTATTTCGTCCTATCAGGAACCTGTTAGTTACAGGTTCCTGCAACCTCCAGTGATTGACGGTGTTCTCGATGACGGATAACGTTTTGGTGTTTGAAATTGTGAGTGGTGAGTCTCACTGAGAACACTATCAACCATTGGGGACAGCTTGAAATTCAAGAGCAAATAGAGAAGACAATTGCTGGTACAAACAAATACCAACAGGTGCTATAGAAATTTGACTAGGCTCAGGATTCGATTCTCGGCCGACGGATTCCTTAGCCTGTATTAAACCCGATGAAGAAGGGATGCTACGCATGATGTTGTCAAACGCACCTGAAAAAATACACACCGTCACTTGTGGAACTCCATGCCTCAAATCTGAAACCTTAAATTCCACTCGGAACGCAAAGAAATGAACCTTTAATCTCAAACATTTGATATAGCTACCGTTAAGTACCATTTTAAATCTGAAAAGGATTGCCATTTAGCTGTAAAAAGCAAACATAGCCGATGACAGCTTGTTGGTTAGACTGTATACTGAGTATCGGTACACTGCATACTTCTCGGCTTGTAACAGTTACTTAGTAATGTGCTAACATGTGAAATATCACTGGGAAAATCACCTTTCAACCAACGCACGGAGAAATTGAATTCCAGGCCGTGATATGTTAGTCCTGTCAGCTCTCCAACAATAAATCAATTACAAATGACGGAAACATTATGAACGGTCGGAAGTTAGAATGCCTGTATCATTGAGCTGCATCTTAGTTACTCACCCAGTAATCTTAAAGCCCTGCGTCAATCTGTAGTGACATTATGCCGATGCCAAGCCACGACAACGGTTATGTACACCTAATTTTCCAAAATTGGGCATTTAGTTTTACAGTATAGTAATGCATGCATTCACCCCTCCATTCCCTGCTCACTTACGACTTCTGAACTCTATTGATTGCTAGCTGCTTTGACTTATCCAATGAAGGGCATTTAGGCTCATGTATTCAGTACTGAATAGCACTGATGACCGTTAAATTTATGATGTCAAACAAATCATATATTGTGATTTGAATATACTGTCTTTGAAGGAAGTCTGAGTGGAATTTCGTGTTCATTAAATCACTTAAGACAACTTTCTGACATCATCTTTTGAATTCGGATGGCTAAACAACTTCGCTGTGTGATCTGATCTGGAGATAGGTTCAACCTTGAACAGCAAATGTGTTTAAGACTACTTAACTTTATTAACGAATTCTACTACATTATATAATTTATTTTCGCATAAAATTATATACTACTGGTTGATTGGAATGAGTAGCTGCATACTACCCACATCGGCTATCTCTCTGAGTTGAGTTAAACAGGAGACATCTCGGATGAGCTTAGTGGCACTAGGCGGGCGAACTAGCACTACTAGTTGAAATGAGTAGTAGGCAACTACTTATCTCGGTTTATCAGTAGTATATACTTTTATGCAAATATTCTTGTTTTTTGGTTACTATTTATGGTATCAAGTCAGTCATACATAACTTGGTTTCCAAAGGTAACTACGTTGAAATATCACGACTCAAAGTGTCTAGACTTGAAATTGGCAACCCGACTTGCGGAAAATTTGCACTGAGGAGTCAATTGACAAAGAATTGAGAAATCTCCGAGGGACCTTGATAGAAAATGGTTTCCCATCACCCAGATTCACAGATAAGAATCTAAAACCGTAGATGGCTTTCGAAGTCTCTCAGTGAAACACACTTTGCTGTCAATCTACGAGTAACATTTTCCCGCAAGAAACTATTCAACCACCACGTGAAAGACAATTAGTTGCATTGGGGCCACCACTTCAACATACATATACCAGTTCACTTGCCTGTGTGGAGCCGAGTATATTGGTCGTATCATTCGTCTGCTTGTAAAACATGCTCGGCAACACAGTCCAGCATGGTTAGCAAGGGTAGAACGCAAGGGTGCATACAGTTCAATAACAGAACACTTGGTGAATTTAGGACATTCAGCTCCATTTGAAAAGTTCTTCAGAGTCATATACAAGGTCCGATCAAACCTCTCTCTTAAAGGGAGTCCATTCAAGGCATCTAGGAATACCTGAGCCACTGGCTATCCAAAACCTCAAGCCCACTATATTTTTTCAAAAGAATTACGTCCAATCATTGTCCCTAACATGACCATCATAAAAAGTCAGTCCAACCAATAATGATTACCCTATTGCCTTTCTTTGTGAGTTAGTGGCGCAGACGTAGAAAGTTCACCAGCCACGCATGTAGTTCAGTGTTCCTTCCCCAGCCTACGTACCACTTTACCTCGCTAAGCCAGTATTAAGACTGGTAAAGAGGGAAGGTTGGATATGAGACTAGCAAACCCATCCCGTAAAAATAAACATCACTTCTATCGAATCTTCAAAGCTCTATCTTGGAGCCTTATGTTCCACCGGGAACGTAATTTATTTATTTATTATTTATTTAAACGCATAAAAAACTTGGTACAATATGGCACCAAGAAAGATGCGCCACACAATAATAATAAAACAACATAGATCAAAAAAAGGAAGGAAGGAAAGAAAAAATATATATAAGTAGAGAACGGATAAAGAACTTCATCTGGAAGGAAAACAGTCATGCTTAACAAGTTCAAACAGTGTTCGTTAGCTATCATCGGGAAGGGAAGAAAGAAGGAAATCGCAACACATTCGCCACTGATTACGATTCTTGGCCATATCCGATAACGTTTCGAGCCATCGATTTGAGCTATCTCTCGGACCCCAACCAGGGAGTCGTGACACACCAACCGATGCTAATCTAGCACAAAAATCCTTCATCCCACGACGCCACGTCATGGACTGACCACCTCTTTTTCCATCCCGTCCCAGGGCTAGCGAACAGAGACCTGTACGGAAGCCTCTGGGGTGACATTCGGAGCACATGTCCAAGCCACCGGAGCCGGTGTTTCCAGATGACGACATTCAATGAATGGTGATCTCCACTTTGTTCAAACACACGCCGCCGAACCTCAGAATTACTCACGCGATGATGCCATCGAACGCAAGCAATCCTGCGGAGACAGCGGTGATCGAACACGCAGAGTCGCCGCACATCCTCAGCTCGGAGAGGCCAGGTTTCACAGGCGTAGAGCAGCGCAGCCCGCACCGAAGCATTGTATACCCGACCTTTGACAGCCAGGCTAACGTCGCGACGGCGCCATAGGTGGCTCAAGTTGATGTATGCCACCCTAGCCTTCATTATACGGTTGGAAATCTCATCCGTCACCCCTCCGCCAGCACTCACACAACTACCCAGGTACACAAACTTATCAACAACTTCAAGCGGTTCACCCGCAAGAGTGAGTGCAGGTACAGGCTCCTGCCAATCTTGTAACAGTACTTTGCACTTAGACGGCGCAAAGCACATACCATACTTACAGACACTGATCGCCAACTGATTAAGTGCGATTTGGGCAGCCTGCATGCTATCGCACAGTAAGACGATATCGTCTGCATACTCGAGGTCGAAAAGTCTATCTCCAGGTAGCAGATCTACACCACCTTCACGCACATCCTTCAGAGCTGACTCCAGAATGTCATCGATGGCAAAGTTAAAGAGAAATGGAGAGATTGGGCAACCCTGTCTAACCCCACTGTTGGTTGGGAACAGTGGTGATAGTTGGTTGTATGCCCTCACTCTACCTGAGGTGTTTCTGTATAGGGCTTTCAGGATGTTAACAAATTTCTCAGGTACACCTCTCTCTAACAGACAGTTCCAGAGCACAGTTCTGTCCAACGAATCGAAGGCAGCCCTAATATCAAGAAACACAACGATCGTTGGCCTGCAATACGTGTGGCGGTGTTCCAACAACTGACGAAGGGTGAACACATGATCAATGCATCCACGACCTG